TTAACCAAAAGAACTTACTGAATTAACAACTAAATGGAGAGATACAGAATAAATAAAAAAAATATTATTACAAAGGTTTCAAATATGCATAGGTTTATTCCCCACAAAATGTGTTTAGATACGTCTCTGCAATCAGTAGATGGCCACAGACAAGTTCTCTCAGCAATACAATTAGCGTAGTCTCATTATGGTGCCTTCAAGGAAGGGCAAATGAAGGTCGTGGCTGTGTAGGGGCCAGAGAGGTCAACTCAGAAAGGTGTAGAATGCTGAGTAGAGTGTGGGACTTCAAAGGAGTCATCCTGGTAGACTTTCTCAGAGAACATGGGACAATCATGGGGCTTTCTTAGGAAGAAGTTATAAGAACATTGAAGGCTGTGTTGGTGAGAAAAATGCCCAGACATTTGCAGTGAGAAGTTATTTTTCCCACTACAACAATGCACCTTCTCATTGGGGGAGGGTAGCAAGGAATGGCATATGAGGATTTTGTCAGAGAGCCTTGTCCTATCCACCCTGCAGCTGTCATCTTGCCCCTTTAGATTTCTTTTTGATCCCCAAACTCAAAGAACATTTTAGTAAAAGACAATCTTAATTCCTCAAGAATACCATAACTGCTATTTTGATGTGCTATAAGTGGAAAAGGGTGGAATTTTTCAGAGAGGGGTTGGAGAGATGGAAATACCACATTCCAAAGTCTATGGACACAAATGGAGGGTGAGTGGAGAAACAAATAGCTGCACATTTTGATATTTTCATTTAATAAAAGTTTCTATACGTTTGTAGTAATACTTTTGACCACCCTTATATACCATGCTGAAAATGGAAACGCTCGATATTGTTACCAATTCTCTACCTATTTGATCTCTCAATTCCATCGTAATTCCAAACAAACCCACAGTAGGTTTTTTTTAATGGAAATAACAAGGTGATTCTAAGTTTTATATGAAAATGCCAAGGCCTTCCAAAGAGTGAAACGATTTTAAACAGGAAAAAGAAAGCCGGAGATCTTAGAAATAATTTATTTCAAAAGAAATAGGCCCACATGGATATAGTGGGTCTATTAAGAAGACAGGAAAGAAAGAAAAGATCAAAGTAGCTGTCAGAAGAGATGCTGAAACTTGCTCTTAATCCTAGGGTAGCTGAAATCCTAAAGCAGCGGAAGGAAATGATGAAATAAAAGAGCCGAATAGAAAATCTCAAAGGGCAGCTTCAGAAGACACAAGTAAAGTATTACAAGAAATGCGCAAAGATCTGGAGTTGGAAAACCAACAAGGAAGAACAGGGTCAGCATCTCGGAGGTTCTCAACCTGTGGGCCGCGACCCCTCTGGGGTTCGAACGACCCTTTCACAGGGGTCGCTCGATTCATAACAGTAGTGAAATGACAGTTATGAAGTAGCAACAAAAATAACATGAGGGACTGTATTAAAGAGTTGTGGCATTAGGAAGGTTGAGAACCACGGTCTTAAACAGAAAGAACTGAAGAAAAAGGTCAAGCCTCAAATTGGAATATTGAAAGATTCTATGGGTACAATCTTGAACAATGCAAGAAGCATCACAAGAAGATGGAAAGACTACACAGAGTCACTGCACCAAAAAGAACGTCTCGACATTCAGCCATTTCAAGAGGAAGCTTATGAGCAAGTACCAATAGTGCTGAAGGAAGACGTACAAGCTGCCCTGGAGGCATTAGCCAAAAACAAAGCCTCAGGAGTTGATGGAAACTGATGAAGCCCTGGAAACACTTGTCTTTCCAGGAAATTTGGAAGAGATCCATATTTTTACCCATTCCAAAGAAAGATGACCCAACAGAATGCTTCCATGATAGAACAATATCATTGTTATCACATGCAAATAAAATTTTGCTGAAATCATCCAACAAAGGTTGCAGCAGCACATTGATAGGGAGCTGCCAGAGGTTCAGGCTGGATTCAGAAGAGGACATTGAACAGTGGATAACAGTGCTGGTGCCGCCTGGATCTTGGCCCAAAGCAGAGAATGCCAGAAAGATGTTTGCCTGTATTTATTGCCTATGAGAAAGCATGTGACTGTGGGGAGCATAGCAAACTATGGACAGCAATAGGAAGAACAGGAAGAACTCTTCATTGTGCTCATTCAGAACCTGTACATGGATCATTTGTGTGAACAGAACAAGGGAATACTGCATGTTTCAAAATCAGGGAGGTGTGTATTACGATTATATCATCTCACGATATTTATTCAATCTGTATGCTGAGCAAATGATCAGAGAAGCTGGATTATATGAAGAAGAATGTAGCATCAGAATTGGAGGAGGGCTTAT